TTTTCTTTGTTTTATTGTTTGTTGGTTGTCCAAGTAAAACAAACAAAACTAAATTATAAAATTAAAAATAAAAGGTAATTCAAAGTTTTAAGAAGTATTGTAATAGTAATAATACTAAAATAACACTAATGCCATGATATTCTTTGAACCACTGTTGTCGTTTCTTTGTTGGTTGTCCAGCTTGTTTATTGTATTGTGGCATTGATGCTTTTCTCTGTTGACCTGGGACTCCGCGCAGGAGCTGCAGAAGGCTCTGGATAAGCGCAAGGCCATCGTGCTGTCCATTAACCTCTGCAGTGCCGAGTTTGTGCAGTCGGACAGCGAGGAGGCGCGAGACCTACAGCGACAGCTGAAGGAGATGAATAACCGCTGGGAGCATCTCAGCAGCTCTCTGGACGAGTGGAGGAACGCGCTCCAGCACGCGCTCTTGCAGTGCCAGGCAAGAAGCTGTTATCAGAAGATACTCATTCAGAAATTCTGCTTTCGTCAGTGTTGAGGGGTTAAAATCACAGACCTTTTCCTAATCTTCAGGACTTCCATGAGATGAGTCATGGTCTGCTTCTGTGGCTGGAGAACATCGATCGCAGGAGGAATGAGATCGTCCCGATTGACCACACTCAGGACAGCGATACCCTACAGGAGCATCACAAAACGCTTCTGGTAAATGATTTCTCTTTTCTGTTGGTATAGCTTGCACGGCTTGTTTTGATTCAACACTGATTGTTCTGCAGCAAATCCGCCGGGAGTTGCTGGACACGCAGCTGAAGGTGGCGTCCCTGCAGGACATGTCCCTTCAGCTGCTGGTCCACTCGGAGGGCAGTGACTGTCTGGAAGCCAAAGAGAAGGTGCATGTGATGGGGAACCGTCTGAAGCTGTTGCTGAAGGAGGTGACGAGAGACATCCGAGAGCTGCAGAAGACCCTGGACATCAGCAGCAGTCAGCAGGTGAGTTACTGACCGCCAGCATTGTCACAACAAAACATTGATGCACACAGTTTGCCTGTGTTTGACCTAAATGATATTAGTGCCTGTAAACATGAAATTCATTTCATGCAAATAATTCAATTTTTCCAAATATTTCTAAATCAGTGGTTCTCAGCCAGGAGAGGGATGGGCCACAGGATGACTGAAATTGTTGTTGTTGTTATTATTATTATTAATAGTAATAGTATGTTGAAATAATTCAACTAAACAAATGCATGCAAACAAACATGAAATCAAAATATAAATTGAAATCATTTTTCTTTTTCGTTTAATTTTTTTTTATTTTAGAACAGTACAATATACAATACAATTACAGTTCTTGAAACTTGAATTGTGGTTAATTTACCTTTTTTATAGATGAATGTATAACCTATATTGATTAATAAATAAGTAAATATAAATGAATATATTATATTATATTAATTATATAGGGGGCTTTGAATTTTGTGTTCGAAGTCTTCAATTCAAAAAGGTTGAGATTTTTTTTATTTGCAGCCGTGTTTAGTATCATTGAGATACTATTATTGTTTTTATGAATATTTTGAACTAGTTTTTATTTCAATATTTAGTTTTCATTTAAATTTCAGTTAAAGTTTTTGTCATCATATATATAGGTGACTAGCTGAAATTAAATACGTTTTTGATTATTTGTTGTATATTTTTGTATATACTGTATATTAAATATTAATTTGTTTTATTATTTATATAGTGCATTTCATTTCAGTTAAAGTTTTTTTTTTTAAATTTCAAGTGAGATTTTTAAAAAATAATTTTAGCTTAACTACAATAACCCTGATATACAGTCTGTCTAGTTTTTTTAGTTTTTCTAACTTTCTCCAACTCTCCTCATCACACACAATCTCTGTAGGACTTGTCATCTTGGTCGT